AAGGTCAAATAGCCATTTTGGGATCGGGAATAGCTCTTCCTTAAGATGCTTGTGTAATTTAACTTCAGTTAAAATATTTCAACCGATCTGGATCAATTCAGTGCAACAGAGGTTAATTGTTCAACTTAAGCCTTGCTAGTAACTTGGTAAAACTTAAACTATGCGGAAGGATACAATGCTCTAGTCTGGGGAAGACCAGACGAGGAGAGATCAGTATGGGATCGAGATCAACTGGGGGAGGTCAACCATCTCACCTCTTCCCCCAAGACCAGCACTCCACCCAAGCTGGTCAACATAGAGGTAGAGTTGCTTTAAGAGTAATTGTAGGGATAGTCCATTCATTGCCTCAAATGTAAAGTCAGGGAGTGTTAAGTGACAGGGAGTGAACATCTTTAGATTTTGTTTTAGTTTTTCTTTTAATAAATTAATTAGCTAATAATTTGCATTTTCATTATTTCCATGTGTGTGTTATATTTATGTGAATTTGTCCTTGTCACGTGGTCCCCACGAGGCAGAGTTGAATTGGGCGCCGATTCTAACACCAAATCGGAATTCATCATTCCCCTTGATTTTTAATTCCACACGTTAGATCCGAGGTTATAAGTTACTAGTGGGGATCAAGCCCCAAGATTAGCATGATCGATCCAGACCTCGATCATTGCTCAGTATTGCAAGGTCTGGTGGTGGCAGCGTAAAGGCGACCCTAGGGTTTTGCTACAAGTCTACGTCACGTCATACGGGTTGTAGAATCTCAAGTCGGTATCGTCTTGAGACCACGTGGCGTGGGGTCGGCTCAAGTGAAAGTTTTGGGGTTCCTTTTTATAGAGAACTAAAGTAAGAATACGGGTAGAGGGAGAAAAAGCAGGAAAGATCATTCGAGAACCCCCCCCCCTCGTGTTACACTTTCACATGAAAAACACAGTTTGAATTTTTTTCACAGACGTGATATCAATATGGTATGTATATAAAAACCTGCTCGGATGCGAATGGAATATTGTTGGAAAAATTCAAAGCAATCGGTGAAGAACTTTCGGAGATTAGCGATTTTGAACAAACGAACTTTTCCATTTTTATTTATATAGATAATGGAGAAACGTACTAAAATGCCGTATTCATGTCGGAATATTGTACTCACCTAGATGTGCTTGCACGAGTTGAACTTCGTCTCTTTGGTCCCACCTCTCAGCTATTAATCACCTTGTGTAGAGATTCTGAGTCTACCTGGTTCAAGAATCATATCTACATTTTATATCTGTATCTAATATCTATTTCATATCTACATTTCTTATTACTACCCGTGCTAAATAGTTTATCTTTATCTACCCTTTCAATTCCTCTGAGAATGGTATAGGTAGTGATCATGTCTCTCCTAACTCTGATGTCTTCCAGTGTCGTCAGATTTAGTTCCTCGTAGCTCATTCCTCTCAGCTCGGGGACTAGCCTGGTGGCACACCTCTGAACCTTTTCTAACTTCGTTTTGTGTTGGTTCTGAATGATTCCTTACACTTATTGTGTAAGGATTAAGGAACTCTTGCAGGGACAGGTGGTACATAAGAGTAAGGGACACTTACAGGGACAGGTGGTACATTAGAGTAAGGGACACTTACAGGGACAGGTGGTACATTAGAGTAAGGGACACTTACAGGGACAGGTGGTACATAAGAGTAAGGGACACTTACAGGGACAGGTGGTACATTAGAGTAAGGGACACTTACAGGGACAGGTGGTACATTAGAGTAAGGGACACTTACAGGGACAGGTGGTACACATACTAATGAAGACACATTACTCAAAGCGTTTCCCGCAAAACTTATAATAATTAAGAAGAAATTATTTAAAGGTGTAAAGTGGTAAACACAATTCTTAAAGAGAAGTTAGCTGACATAAGTGAGAATGAGAACATTCTCGTCAGTGTGATTGTTTTGTGTATAAGAGAGAATGTCAAAGTTAAAAACAAATGATGTACAATTGAAAGGTGATACTTAATGATGATACAGACATAGACTATTACACTGTGGAGTCTGAGGTTCCAGCAACAGTACAGTAATTTTAAATATTATTAACAGAACGGAAATACAAAAGGTGTAATTTAGGGAAAATACTGGAACATAACAGAACAGAGTAAAATAGTCTAAACTAATAATTCAATATGGCACACACTTAAAAATTAACAAGAAAATCAAAAAAGGAATTAAGAAAGTAATTTTACAAATTTAGATACACTGACTAGATGACAATAAAGAATGGACAAAATTATGACTGAAAGTCGATTGTGGTCGACTTGATAACGGTCCAGGACGGACTGAAACGTAGTCGTTGTTACGAACCTTACTTCCTGTGGAGGTAAAGTTCTATTAAAGGAGTTGATTAGAGGATGTTTTCTTGAAAGGAATCTGCAGCTGGCAACTGGGAGGCCGCGAGTGACTTATTATTCCGCCAGAAAAGTAGTACCCTTCAGTTGGAGATTGTTTAGGAATAATGTGTATTGGGATAGCACAACCATGTGAAGGAAAAATAGACTCAATCAAGAAAACCTGCATGGGTAATATTGTAAATGAAGTTAATAAAAGGCTTGATTGGTAATGTTAAAGAATAGAGTATAGAGGGGGCAATGACGCGAAAGGGGCGGACGCCATCTTCACCTGACGCAGAGTACACCAGTTGTCTGACCAGTCCTTGTATTCTGAGGAATTTCTCCAGCAATTCGATCAGATAAGCCTTTGTATACTAGTATTAAGGCTGCAAAGAAGGGCAGAGTACACTGACAGTCTTCTGAGCAGTATTTCTGAGAGTCCAGGTTCCTAGGGGTTTATTTATGTGTGGCACCGGTTAACAGGTGTGGTGGAGATTCCTTTTCTATATGTTACCTTCATATTGACCTTGAGTTGTAAGGAGTAAATTATTGTTACGGACCCGAGTCCAGCATCGGAGCACGGAGCAGTGACAACAACGCTATCTGTGAGTCCGCTCCCGAAACCCCCTCCAAATGGACAACGCCATCTAGTGAGGACGGGATATACCGGCCACAGGTGCTGGATTCCCGTCTTAATCAGCTCATAACGTAGCCACTGTTGACCTCTGGTGAGGTGGTGCTTAGACAGCAACGCCATCTATGGAGTGAAGAGGTGGACGTTTGTGTCTAAGCTTGTAAGTGAGGTTCCCTAGAGCGTCCCAGTATTAATGACGTATCTGATTGCAGAGTCGACCTGGGACTGCTGTATTGGACGATGGATCAGTCTACCCAAGGCAGCCAAGGTCTCTTCACCAGTCTGTTTTGAAGAAGCTGTGAGTCACCCCCCGGACGAACTCTGTTGAGAGTATTAGCCTGCCTGTGGCGTGGCAGTGTCGGGAATCGCCTTATCCGGGGCTGGCTGGTGGAAGAGACTAGCCACTGTGGTGCTTAGTGAGGAGAGTGATCAGCGGGATCACACAAGGCTCCTGCCTAGGGCTCGCAACCCTAGTATCGGTCGTGGAGTGGCCTACACAGCGGAGCTGATCGGTACCTGCCAGCTACATGCTGGATTGTGGTTGAAGGCCTCCACGACGAAGCACCCAGTGGAACTGTGATTTGGCTGGCCTGTGACCAGGGTAGATTCGTCATAGAATCCTAGTGGATTCATCGTGGACCACGGAAGAAGGAACCAGGGCTACCCAGAGTGAGCACCGTTGAGCATCCAGTGTCTTCGGAGGAAGACGAACCTGTACATAATTGTGTAGTTATAATCCCCGTGTGTGACTGTTATTTATTTATACAGGATGGTGGAAATATATATCAGAAAAACTGGAACATTTGTATCCCTCCCCCTTTAATTTAACTTGCGTTACAGAACACACCCCTTGAAAGCCTCTACTAACCTGGGGCCGGATTCCCAAACTCTACTACCATCAGAGAAGAACCCGGTTGCGTCCCAGTAGGGCCGTAACAATTATGTTATGTATTGTCGTGTGTGTTATCAATATATATTTGTGTCATTTATCTATTGGGTTGTTTCTCTACTCCTTGAATTCCCCTTGGCTCAGGTAATAGCCTCTATTCCCCTAGACAACATGAAAAATACATGACCCCCCCCACTTTCCCATACGTGACAGTCGTCTCCTCATCTTCTGGTGTGTGCTTTGGTTATTGGCATAATTAGTAGTAAAATAATTTAAATAACAGTATCACAGAAATATATTATTATGCGGAAAAAAGGGAGTGAAATTAGTTACATGGTATTAAGTAAATATTGCTTAGTTTCCCTTTAAAACTTGTTGGGAGATGTAAAGCTTTTAATTCAACCCGTCCTCTTAAAAATAACGTCACTTTTCGCTCGTATGCGCGCTCTGGCCAAATTTGGACGTAATTTGAAATGAAATTGACTCACAAAAGTGACGTACTGTTCCGTTTTCAGTTTGAGTCATCCGGCCGACTATGTAAGGTTAAAATAGATGACTTTCAATTCACGTTTTTCATAACGTTTTGTAACTTAATGAGAATTTCCTGCCCACCTAACCTATCAGTTGATCCTTAATTTTTAACTTACTGTGTTGAAAAAAAATCCCAAATTTATTTTCATTTTTTTTCATTTTCAAATTACGTCCAAATTCGGCCATACAGGCATACGGCCAAAAGCGACGTTCTTTTTAAGAGGACAGGTTGTTTAATTATATTTGGGAGGTCATTCCACAATTTGGGATCCATGATTTGCATAGCATTTCTGTTTTGATTGAGACTCACTTTAGGAATATTAAAAATATATTTGTTTCTCCTATGGTGACTGTGAGCCCTCTAAACTATTACATATTATAATTATTAGAAGACTATTACAGCCTTCTAGGAAACACTTAAGGTCAGGATTGGCATTGTAGTTCAGAATTGTATAGACATGGAGAACGCTTGAGAGTATATGCAGAGACTCGATATTGAACATGTTACGTTAATTAAAGTACTGCGGAAATGCCCAGCTGATCCACTACTAAACACAACATACCCAGCTGATCCACTACTAAACACAACATACCCAGCTGATCCACTACTGAACTTAACATACCCGGCGGATCCACTGCTAAACACAACATACCCGGCTGATCCACTACTAAACACAACATACCCAGCTGATCCACTACTGAACACAACATACCCAGCTGATCCACTACTAAACACAACATACCCAGCTGATTCACTACTGAACACAACATACCCAGCTGATCCACTACTAAACACAACATACCCAGCTGATCCACTACTGAACACAACATACCCAGCTGATCCACTACTAAACACAACATACCCAGCTGATTCACTACTGAACACAACATACCCAGCTGATCCACTACTAAACACAACATACCCAGCTGATCCACTACTAAACACAACATACCCAGCTGATCCACTACTGAACACAACATACCCAGCTGATCCACTACTAAACACAACATACCCAGCTGATCCACTACTGAACACAACATACCCAGCTGATCCACTACTAAACACAACATACCCAGCTGATCCACTACTGAACACAACATACCCAGCTGATCCACTACTGAACACAACATACCCAGCTGATCCACTACTAAACACAACATACCCAGCTGATTCACTACTGAACACAACATACCCAGCTGATCCACTACTAAACACAACATACCCAGCTGATTCACTACTGAACACAACATACCCAGCTGATCCACTACTAAACACAACATACCCAGCTGATTCACTACTGAACACAACATACCCAGCTGATCCACTACTAAACACAACATACCCAGCTGATCCACTACTGAACACAACATACCCAGCTGATCCACTACTAAACACAACATACCCAGTTGATTCACTACTGAACACAACATACCCAGCTGATCCACTACTAAACACAACATACCCAGCTGATCCACTACTAAACACAACATACCCAGCTGATCCACTACTGAACACAACATACCCAGCTGATCCACTACTAAACACAACATACCCAGCTGATCCACTACTGAACACAACATACCCAGCTGATCCACTACTAAACACAACATACCCAGCTGATCCACTACTAAACACAACATACCCAGCTGATCCACTACTGAACACAACATACCCAGCTGATCCACTACTAAACACAACATACCCAGCTGATTCACTACTGAACACAACATACCCAGCTGATCCACTACTAAACACAACATACCCAGCTGATCCACTACTAAACACAACATACCCAGCTGATCCACTACTGAACACAACATACCCAGCTGATCCACTACTAAACACAACATACCCAGCTGATCCACTACTGAACACAACATACCCAGCTGATCCACTACTAAACACAACATACCCAGCTGATCCACTACTAAACACAACATACCCAGCTGATCCACTACTGAACACAACATACCCAGCTGATCCACTACTAAACACAACATACCCAGCTGATCCACTACTGAACACAACATACCCAGCTGATCCACTACTAAACACAACATACCCAGCTGATCCACTACTAAACACAACATACCCAGCTGATCCACTACTAAACACAACATACCCAGCTGATCCACTACTGAACACAACATACCCAGCTGATCCACTACTAAACACAACATACCCAGCTGATCCACTACTGAACACAACATACCCAGCTGATCCACTACTAAACACAACATACCCAGCTGATTCACTACTGAACACAACATACCCAGCTGATCCACTACTAAACACAACATACCCAGCTGATCCACTACTAAACACAACATACCCAGCTGATCCACTACTGAACACAACATACCCAGCTGATCCACTACTAAACACAACATACCCAGCTGATCCACTACTAAACACAACATACCCAGCTGATCCACTACTGAACACAACATACCCAGCTGATCCACTACTGAACACAACATACCCAGCTGATCCACTACTGAACACAACATACCCAGCTGATCCACTACTGAACACAACATACCCAGCTGATCCACTACTGAACACAACATACCCAGCTGATCCACTACTGAACACAACATACCCAGCTGATCCACTACTAAACACAACATAAAAAAACGCCACATTTAAGTCAATGTGCTTATGAGTAAACATGATCAAAGTCAAAATATAAAAAAATAAAACAACCGTTACTGTAATAAAAGCAACATAAAACCTAACACCTGCTGTACCACTGTTTTAACACCTGCCGTACACCTGTCTTAACACCTGCCATACACCTGTCTTTCACACGTAAAATATTATTGACATAACAAATGAAACAAAGATAAACACAAAATATAACTCAATTACTCGGACTTGTACACAACAATATAGCAATAAAAGAAAGTTATATTACCAAACCCATGAATATTACCAAACTTCCTGGCCAGTTTCTTAAGGCCAGTGGATTGGAATATGATAGAAACAACTTGACCACCATTAACATAATAGAGAGAGCAGCTTCTGTCACTAGCAGGAATGGATCTGGACTACTAATCATATGAGACGTCAACCACGAAAAGATAGATTGGGAGAACAGAGACCCACATGGAGGACCAGATACATGGAGAGCTAAGCTGCTGGACGTGGCAACAAGAAACTTTCTAATCCAACACATCAAGGGACCAACAAAAATGAGAGGGGGGGGTTATCTTGAGATGATTTCGTGGCTTTAGTGTCCCCGCGGCCCTGTCCTCGACCAGGCCTCCACCCCCAGGAAGCAGCCCGTGACAGCTGACTAACACCCAGGTACCTATTTTACTGCTAGGTAACAGGGGCATAGGGTGAAAGAAACTCTGCCCATTGTTTCTCGCCGGCGCTTGGGATTGAACCCAGGGCCACAGGATCACAAGTCCAGCGTGCTGTCCGCTCGGCCGACCGGATCCTGGGGGAGATGGACCAGCCATGCTTCATCTGATATTTACCCTAAATGAGTGGGATATAAGGGATGTTTGGTTGGAAGCACGCTTGGGAATGACGGATCACAGTGTAATGATCTTCGAGTACCTGGTAGAGCTAGGGTTTATCTCCCCCTGAAAAGAACTAGGAAACAAAAGGCTGGCATACCGAAAGGGAAATTATGAGGAGGTGAGAAGTTTTCTATGGGATATACCATGGGACACATACCTCGGAGCAATGTCTGTACAAGACATGATGGACTATGTCACCCAAAAAGTGTCAGAAACAGGTTCATCCTGGCCCAAAGAGAAAAATCCGAGAAGCAAAAGAAGAATCCATGGTTTAATAGGGCATGTATGGAAGCGAAGAAACTGAACAAAAGGGCGTGGAGGAACTTCTGAAATAACAGGACACCAGAGAGCAGAGAGAGAGATACCAGAGAACCAGAAATGAGTATGTTAGTGTGAGAAGAGAAGCAGAGAAAAAATATGAATATGATATAGCAAGCAAAGCCAAGACCGAACCAAAATTATTCCACAGTCATATCAGGAGGAAAACAGCAGTGAAAGAACAGGTAATGACACTTAGAGCAGGCAAGGACAGGTATACAGAGAATGACAAAGAGGTGTGTGAAGAACACAAATAGAGGTTCCAGGTCTTCACGATAGAACAAGGTGAGGTCACTGTGCTAGGAGAGGGGGGCAGTAAACCAGGCGGCCTTGGAAGGGTTCGAAATTACGAGAGATGAGGTCAAGAGACACCTGTTGGATCTGTATGTGAGAAAGGCTGTTGGTCCAGACTGGATTTCGCCATAATATTGAAAGAGTGTGCAGAGACACTCTGCTTGCCACTCTCCATAGTGTATAGTAGGTCACTGGAGACGGGAGACCTACCAGAATTATGGAAGACGGCTAATGTGGTCCCAATATCCAAAAAGGGTGACAGATAAAAGGCAAGAGTCACTGAACTACAGGCCAGTGTCCTTGACTTGTATACCATGCAAGGTGATGGAGAAAATCGTGAGAAAAACCTAGTAAAACATCTGGAGAGAAGGGACTTCGTGACAAATTGCCAACATGGGATCAGGGAGAGTAAATCTTGCCTTACAGGCTTAACAGAGTTCTACGACCAAGTGACAAAGATTAAGCAAGAAAGAGAAGGCTGGGCGGACTGCATTTTCTTGGAATGTCGGAAAGCCTTTGACACAGTACCCCATAAGAGGCTGGTGCATAAGCTGGAGAGACAGGCAGGACGGACTGGTAAGGTGTTCCAGTAGCTAAGGGAGTACTTAAACAATAGGAAGCAGAGAGTTACAGTGAGGCCTGAGACCTCAGATTGGCGTGAAGTTACCAGTGGAATCCCATAGGGCTCTGTACTCGATCCTATCTTGTTTCTAATTTATGTAAATGATCTCCCGGAGGGTTTAGACTCATTCCTCTCAATGTTTGCTGACGACGCCAAAATTATGAGAAGGATTAAGACAGAGGAGGACTGCTTGCGGCTTCAAGAAGACCTAGACAAACTGAAGGAATGGTCGGACAAGTGGTTGTTAGAGCTTAACCAAAGCAAATGTAATGTAATGAAGATAGGTGATACCTTGATACCTATATACAATGATACCTTGTATCATTTGAAAGATGAAGGTATCGACAGGAACCCTGTCGTAGCTCAGTCGATTAAGGCAGTGTCTGGGATGCTCCCGGACACAGGTTCGAATCCTCGTCACGGCCCTTGTGGATTTGTTCACCTGGCATATGTCCATTGTGTTTAATACCTTATTAATATCCCCTTGTTACATCCTCTCCAATCATGTCACCCATATTTGTTTAGGCAAACCATCCAACAGACTTATTGGTTCTAGCGTAAGTCATGTTAGGACAGGTATGTCCTACCATAAGAAACCAGGTATGTCCTGGTTTGTCCATAAGAAAACCAGGTATGGTATGGTATGTCCTGGTATGTCCATAAGAAAACAGGTATGTCCTACCATAAGTATCATAAGAAAAGCAAAACTTTCATATTATGAGACTAGATTCAAAGAAGCAAAAGGCAACATGAAAAGCACATGGAATACCATCTCTAACATCCTGGGAACTAAACAACACTTCCACAACCAGATAACACTCTCTAAGGATGGCCTTACACTGTCATCTGACTTAGAAATGGCGAATGAATTTAATAGCTTCTTTTCATCGATTGGTGCTAACCTTGCAAGTAAAATCCCACAGACTCAGACCAATATCAACACATATCTCTCAGGCAGCTATCCAAACTCTCTTCTCCTCTCACCAGTCAGCCCGTCAGATGTGGTGTCCATCATACACTCACTAAAAACCAAAGCTGGGAACATCAGTGAAATCCCATCCATTGTATACAAGAGCGCCTCCCATGCCCTTGCACCACCTATAGCACTGCTGTTCAACAAATCCCTTGAGTTTCATACCTTCCCTGATATCCTTAAAAACGCAAGAGTAACGCCAGTTCATAAAGGAGGTAATCCGTCAGACATAAACAACTACAGACCAATATCGAACCTACCCTTACTATCAAAAATATTTGAAAAAATTATCTACAAACAGCTCTACTCCTATCTCGTAAAATTCGACATTCTTAGCCCCTGTCAGTTTGGCTTCCGCTCTCAAAAGAGTACCAACGATGCAATTATTAGCCTCCTTGATATAATTTACTCTGTCCTTGACAAAAATGAGTTTCCGATTGGACTCTTCATTGACCTGAGAAAGGCCTTTGATACTGTTAATCACGATTACCTCTTATGTAAACTCCATCATTATGGAATCCGAGGCCATGCACTGGACTATATCCAATCCTATCCTAGTGATAGACACCAATGTGTAGCCATCAATAATATAATCTCTCCCATTCTACCAATAACCGTTGGAGTGCCACAGGGCAGCATCTTGGGACCCCTACTATTTCTTATATACATTAATGATCTGCCTAATGTCTCTAACATTCTGAAACCTATTTTGTTTGCTGATGATACTACCCTCATTTACTCCAACCCCAACCCACATACACTAAATGATGTTGTTAATAATGAACTAAAAAAAGTCCACTTATGGATGTCAACCAACAAACTAACACTTAACATAGAAAAGACCTACTACATCCTATTTGGAAGCAAATCTACATATGCAATTCAGCTTCAGATTGACAATGTAAACATTAGCAATAAAAATGATGGAAAGTTTCTTGGCGTATTCCTAGACAAGAGACTCAACTTCAGTACCCACATACAACACATAACTAAGAAAGTCTCTAAAACAGTTGGTATACTCTCCAAAATCAGATATTATGTTCCTAACTCTGCTCTCATCTCTCTATATTATGCACTAATCTATCCCTATCTCAACTATGGTATCTGTGCATGGGGTTCAACCACTGCAAACCACCTCAAGTCCATCATCACCCAGCAAAAATCTGCTATCAGAATAATATCAAATTCTGCTTTCAGACAACACACAGCCCCCTTGTTTAACTCCCTAAACATGCTAAACATAATCTCACTCCACAAATTCTCTTGTGTCAACTACATTTACAAAACCCTGTTCTTAAATGCAAATCCTTGTCTGAAACTCTTCCTGGACAGATGTAATAGGACCCATTATCACCACACCAGAAATAAATATCTCTTCGATATCCCCAGAGTTAAACTTAATTTGTGTAAACACTCTATGCAAATAAAGGGACCCAGTTTATGGAACTCACTCCCTACTGAATTGAAAAGCTGTCCAACTTTTACATCATTCAAAATCAATACTAAAAAGTACCTAATTTCATCTTCATAGTTTTTCACTTTTGCCTTAAAATTGCACTGTATCTATTGCTACCCAATCTCCCAACCTTTATGTTCCCAATTTGAACATATTTACCATTGAGATCATTGCTGTTTTCTTATATGTGCTGCCATTCTATTGTATGGTGTTTATAAATCTTGTTTATCTGTATCTTTTGCTACCCAGTCTCCCAATCTTTATGTACCCATTCTGAACATCTTTACTATTGTGATCATTGCTGTCTTATATGTGCTGTCAATCTGCTGTATGGTGTCTATTAATCTTGTTTAAATTACTAATCAAGCTGTCAATGTAATCAATCAGAGCTTTAATATAACAATGTGCTTTAATATGCTTACTTATCTCTCTCATCTCATTTTTCTCTTGTAATGTATCTTTCATTTATCAATTCTGATTGAAATTACCTACTTAAAATTATCTGCTAGATTAAGGACCTGCCCGAAACGCTGCGCGTACTAGTGGCTTTACAAGAATGTAAATACTGTACTATCCAATGTATTCTCACAAACCCAATGTACCTTCTTGTATATATATAAATAAAAAAAATAAAATAAGGTGGGGCTAGGTGAAGTCAGTAATGTCAATGATAATTTAAGCAAATTTACTATATCCTATCAAAAACGCATTCTATTAAAACCTAAATTCATCTCAATCTATAACAAATTATACTTATTCTACACAAATTTAACTAAATTCAACCTAACAAAAGATAAAGTAACTAAATATAAGCATCCTATATCATCACATACAAGCCTATGTCACCTCTGTCTATTCATTACATGAGTTAGCTATAGCTCGAACCCCAATTAGGTAAATTTACACTATTTTATTTACATGCTAGTTCATTACCACAACGATATTATATAGCCTACCCTACACAACCTCGCCTAACCTGACTTAGCATATCGTAATCTAGATTTGATTAAAGGTGACGATATTTAAGCTTTCCCAACTAAATTCGACCCAGTTTAAAACAAATTCCACAATATACCCAAATGTTGTGTATCATATCACAACCAAAGCCCATTTTTACCACAGTTTCACCTATTCCATCCTTCCCTACACAACCTTACCTAACCTGACCTAGCACATCCAAAGCTAGATTTGAATAACGCTGGCGAACTTTAAACTATCCCACCTAAATTCAACCTAATTTAAGAAAATTTACTCCAAATATACCCAAAATGTTTTGGATCATAGCACATCCAAAGCCCATTTTACCCGAGTTTCCCCCCTGTTCCATCTAAATTTAATGTATATTTCCGATATCCGACATCCAGTCTTGGCACAACATACCAGTTCCCAAGACCATTTCAAAGAGCTAGTGCTGTGTCCAATTAGCTATTTCCAATATCCAGATGTGTTTTTTCTATAAACAATTCTACCAAACCAGACCTAACCTAACCTATCCTAACACAAAATTAGCTAAACTCATT